CATGGAAAAAAAATTTCGGACTTTATTTAATCTTCATAGTGAAAATGGATACCGATGCTATTTTTGTGAGGAAATTTTCGATTTCATTTTTTACATTTTTAACTTTATAATGCTATAACTTATTGAAATTTGTATGGATCAACACAATTTTTTTATGAAAAATAATATTTTTTAATAATCCTATTTTCATTCGACATACTTTATTTTAATTAGGATATTAATAATGAACTAGCAGATAATGTAACTTTTGGAATAATCCACCAATTTTTTAAAATTAAACACTATCTAAAGATTTGCATCGAAGCGTTTTTTTCTTGATAGTGATTTTAATCACTGTCAGATATTTATATATATTGAGATTATACTTGAACCAACTATGCCACGTCACCACTATGCTGGGTTTTGTCAATTATTTTTACTTAAATTACCATAACTTTTTTAAAAATGACCAAATTGATTAACTTTTTTTTTATATAAATACCTATCATTTATAAAATTATTTGAATATCTAAATAAAAAAAAAAAATACCTATCCTATGTTATATTTTTTTATAAATTAGACCCTTCATCTGCCAACAGAGGAATTCAAAATTACAACTTTTTCAACTTACTTTTGTAAGAGTTCCTGAAATACTGACACTTTTATATATACCTTAAATTAAAGGTTATGTAATATACTTTAATATGAAAAAAAAAAATTCGGACTTTATTATGTTTTCATGGTGAAAACGAATATTAAACTTAATAAAAAATTACGATTTTTGCAGAAAAATTCTTTTTTATATTTTAATTTTATAAAGCTATAACTTTTTGAAATATGCATGGATCATTATAATTTTTTTGTGACAACTACTATTAATATTTATATATTATTGATATATATTTATATTTATATCTTCATATATTGCACTTATAAATCATAAAACTTGTAATCAGTAATGAAATAAGATATCATGTAGCTTTTGGAATAATCCATTAATTTTTTTAAATTAAACATTATCTACAGATTTACATCGAATCGTTTTTCATGATAGTGATTTTAATCACTGTTAAATATCATCTATACTGGATCAATTATGCGACGTCCCCATTGTGCTGGTTTTTTTCAAAACTGCTATAATTTTATGAAAAATGAACAAAAAAAATTATAAATTTTTGTATAAATAACATAGATATATATATTTTTTTAAATCAGACACTTTACTTGTCGTCAGCTATGAAAAATGTCAACTTTTGCACGAAAATTTAATTTTTTAAATTTTATGTGCTAATATAATAGTAACACAGACGTAGCATAATTAGGAGTAGTATACATGATATCTGTCAGTGATTAAAATCGCTACCATAAGTTTTTATAGTAGTGCCACGTCTACACTGCGCCGCGACACCACTGTGCTGCTGTTCTATTTATTCATGTAAGATTATAAAATTTATTGATTTGAAAAAGTATAATATTTATAAAATATTAGAATTACTTTCTGGTACAATAACAAAACAGGAAGATAATAAAGTGACGAATAAAATTAGCATCATCTTAAAAGATTTGAATAGAATAAAATGTTTAAATAAAGCACTCAATTAATTAAAATATACTATTATTTAAATTTTTTCTGAATTTTTCTGAGATAGCATTACACTGCACATAATAATTTTATCTTTAAAATGAAGTGACTCTACATTTTAACTTATATTAAGTAATTTTTTTTAGTGATATAAAAATATACAATTGTACAAACAATTACACTAATCAATATTAAAAATATGACATTTTAAATCGAAATTTCACAGGAATTATTTATATCGAATTAAAAATCAATTATTTTATTTAAATACTCGTTTTTACTCAAAAATGCCATTATAATTGATTTTTGTATCAATTTAGAAATATTAATTCATAAAACTTCAACAAATATCAAGGGCTAAATCACTGTAGTCCTTGATATCCTCCCTCTATAAGAAGGATTTTCTATTCATATTGAAATTATTTTACTATGTATTTTTTTTTTTTATATGAATCTAACTTACATTGAATAAAAATTTGAACATATTTAAAAAATTTTACTTCGTTTAAATGAAAAAATGACTAAAATTTTGAACTAGCTTAACTTGTCGTTTTTATCTACCGACAAATGCAACGTACGATAGCGTCAGAAACATTAATATCATTTGAAATTGAGATACTAGGTTCATTGCAACAACTTTTTCCTTATTCATTTCGAGTAAAAGGAAAAAATTAAAAATTTGTTTTGTTTTTGTATTAATTTAGATTAAATAAATCATAAAACTGTAATGAATAACGAGGACTATATCGCTGTAGTCCTGAATATTCTTCCATTATGAGAAGGAATTTATTATTCATATATTCACAATTTCTACACCAGAGATATGTTCAATATAAAAATATTTTTTTTTACAACTATACTTGCATAGAAATCTTATTTATAGTAAAATTTTAATATCTTTTTGAAAAAATTAGATTTTTTTGTTTTATTGAAATCTTTTATTTTAATTAGTTGCCCAGTTTTTATAATAATGTATTTCTATAAAATTCTATTATCTACTGTTTATACTTTTTAGTGGCACNTAATAATGTATTTCTATAAAATTCTATTATCTACTGTTTATACTTTTTAGTGGCACATTTAGAATTGATATTGGGGAATTATTAATTATTATTAAATGTTTTATTCCTTCCATACAAGTTCTTTTGCAATTTGACGATTTATGAATACATTTATTATGTTTTTTAAAAATTATTAAATATTTATTTATATACAATTTTATTCTGTACATATACAATGTAGAAAAATTACTTCTACTTTAAATTTTAAGTTACAACTTTCTTACAACTCCATTTACTTATATACTTTTTAGTATATAGGTGGCTATTTAAATGGCAGGCATCAACATTTTAACAAAAAACATATTCAAAATTACGGTTGAAATGATATTTTTTATATTGTACAACCCTTTTTTTTTGTATTAGCTTTCAATACAGAATTATTATTATAGCTAAACAATTAAAATAAAACTATAATAGAAACTAAGACTATACAAAGGAAAAAAAATATTGTTATTAAACACAATTAAACATATCGTTAAATTAATAAATTAAACATACTCAAAATACTAAAAAAGAAAGAACAAAACAAAATAGACCTAGGATATTAAATTAACATACAGAAAAATATTATATAACGAAGCCAGCTGAATGAACGAAGGAAATTATTTGTATAATTATTGAGGAGGATTTTGTATTAAGGATATTAAAACTATTAATAGGTGAAATATTAAGGGAGGACAGGAAATTGAACAAGAGTAATCGGTTATGTAGTAAAGCTGGGCAATCAAATAGTAAATTACAGGGAACTTCATCATTTTGTTTGGGGCAGAATGGGGAATGGTTTAGTGACATGTTAAAGGCATGACTAGGTAACCGATTATGACCAAATCTAAGACGGGAAAAAGAGGTAATATGGAAACGGGACAGAAGGAGGTTGTAAAACCAAGGACGTTTAGGGATAGTTGGAACTATAGATTTATGCCAGTTAGCTAAAGAAAAATTTGACCATTTATCTTGCCATGCTTTATTAATAGTTGAATGAAAAGAGGAAAGGAGATCGGAAGAGGGAATTTTTAGGATAGGTGGTCGGTTGAAGGAGTTAGTCAGTTTGACTAGATGGTCTGCTATCTCATTGCCAGAGATTCTGACATGACTCGGGCACCATAAAAATTTAACATTAATGTCCATTAAATAGAGACTATAAATTAAGGCATTAGTTTTGATTGTGAGAAAGGATCTACTTTTTTTAAAAGGAACTGAGGAAAGAGATGATAAAACTGACAGTGAATCCGAGGCAATCAGAACATTTATTATATTGAGTGATTTGACGAATTCGAGAGCCGAGGATATCGCATAAGATTCGGTGGTAAATGAACAAGTTTTTGAAGGGAGATTATCTGAGAAATTCATGTTTAGACTAGGAATAAAAAAGGAAAAGCCGGCGGAATCAGTATAAACTGAGCCGTCAGTGAATATGAAGCAATAGTTAGCAAAATGAGAGGAAATGAGTTCATCAAAAAGATAATTGACAAAATTAGTTGGGAGAGATTGTAATTGGGGCTTGCTTTAAGAAAGAAATAGATGGTTAAAGTGAATTTTTGGAAAATGAGTAAGTGCATGAAATGGAATGTCATATATAGGTAGGCGATTGATTGAGGTAATTATAGATTTAAGGTAGGGAATCCAGGTAGTATAAATTGAGGCAAGTAGAAGAAGAGTTATGGGTACACATCGCCAAAGTGAGCTTAGTGAATGAAAACAATGAAATATTAACTTGGCAGGAGTGGATATCTGTTTTAAAATGAATTTATGGGCTAAGTAACGAAATCGAATTTCAATTTGAAGGCATACACATTCTACTTCTAAACTCATATTAGGGGTAGAGTAAACTGCACCTATAATTGGGCGTAAACAAGCAGCGAGTAGAGAATTGATTTTTTTACGATGATCAGTGGATCTTTGCTGTAGAAATTTTTGATATAAGAATTTTGAATAAAACAATTTTAATTTGGTTTTTAGACGAAAAAAAATAGTAATAAAATGAGAGAAGAGTAAAAAGAGAAAGACCATGTTTAATATAATAACATTTTCTTTAATTATTTAAAATTTATATTTATTATATTTATATATTATTTATATTTATATTATTTTAAAAATACAGGGTGGCCCACCACTCACTGACAACTTAAATAACTTTTGATCCAGTTAATATTTTTAGCTGATTTTTTTTTTTTAAATAATAGTTATACGTTAGGTCTATAGCTATACAGGGTGATTTTTTTATCATAACCCACTCAATTACTTGCAGAATAACAATAATTTAAACATTTTTTTTTTTTATTATCTTTAGTTACACATCATTCTTGAATTTTTAACTATGTAATACTTTTTAAGTTCATCCCTTATGCCTTGGAGGGGGGTAAACTTTGTTTTTTTAAATGGTAACACATATTTTTAATTTAATAAAATGTTTGAGTTTTTAATTTAATAGTAAATGGCATTTGAATTTTTAATATAACTTTATTAGCTTATTAGATATAAACATTTAAAGTTTCAAAATTTTGAGTTAATATACATGTATAA